GGTAAAAAGTTTTATTATTTCCGTTTATATACAAAGGGTACGATACCGAAAACGAAACAACTTCAAAAATATATCTATTTTGAAGAAAAATAAATCTATTTTCAAAACATATTTTTTGCGTAAAATTCAAAACACGTCGATTTTTTCCATGATAGATAATTGTCTATTATATCCTTAACTATTGTATTTCTTTAACAAATCCTATTTTATCTATCCTGAACAACATCGACTCAGCTCATCTGTAGTCTTCCTCTTAATTGTCTATCTTTGTAGGATCTCCAACGTTGTATTGCGGCATTATAACGTTGGTCTTTTTGTCTAGCAATATAGCTTGCGAAGCACCATTTAAATTTGGCAATTTTTTTCGCGATATCCTTGACTTTTATTTTTCACCTTACCTATCATCTTTCCTCTTCCTATCTGATAGTCATATACCTAGCATTCTCCTTTCCATTCGCCTTTTTGTTGTGGTTAGTTTGTTGATATTTGTCAGTTAGAGTTTAGGTTTGACATCCATATGTCATGAAAAATACACTGCTTGAACGCAAGTATTGAGGTATTTTGCGATTTTTAAGTATCCAACTGAGTTTTCCAAATTCTGCTCACTTTAGTCTTGCTCTTCGAGTGATTTCCGTACTCTGGTTCTCTTTGTCAAGTTTTAGAACTTGACCTAGATATATATATATATATATATATATATATATATATATATATATATATTCTTGGACTTGTTCTATCTCATTACCAGTTATATGTCTGGGGTAGTCCGTGTCATTGTTTTTGGTTTTGCCATATTTATTTTTAGGTTGATGAATTTGGATCTCTGTTCTTTTCTATGACTTGCTTGTTTTCGTTAAATTTTTTGATGTCACATTTTAGTTCCTTGCTAATTGAATGTCCGCCCCAAATAAGATTGTACCCTCAATATTTTGTGTTATTAGCGGAACAAGGTTGTAATCATCATTTCTGTTATACTGGTATGCAAGTGATTCCAGAAGATCATCTGATTTCATTTTTATGTAAGCATTCAAATAGAGCCGCGGCGAATAAGGTTGTAACATCATTCAAAATATTAGACATGGCGGATGTAGCATGTGTTAGTGTGAATGTGGCCTCAGAAAAACAGTTAAATAAATGTCGAAAAAGAATAATTTGGCTTAGTGAATGGAAGGATAATAAAAAAAATCCTACGAGACACTGGAAACCAATGTGTTTCCAGAAAAAGTGCTTTTGTTCCTGAAAAAGTAACTGCAGTAAATGTAAATAGGTACAGAAAATTGTATGTATTTCCTAATTGTTAAGTAACTAAATAGCTCTATTTAAATTAAATTAACAAGGTTAATAAAGGTTTAAATCTGCTGGAGCGTATCAAAATATGCATTTTTAAATCGCTTGCTGTATTTTGCTTCAACGCGTTTTTGATTTGTTGCAGGCTTGAAATGTCCCAATTGTCGTTGCAGAGAAAATCTATACCGGTACATATTTAATTACGAATTTAACTTGAGATTTGGAACAGATAGGATTGTGTCGCGTTGCGCACAAGTGTCCTAGATAGGACACTTGTGCGCGAGTCTCTTCTAGTCTCTACCTGTAACGGCCGTTACAGGTAGAGACTAGAAGAGTACACATTTTCCACTTATACCTTTCTCTGGCTTCTAAAGCAAGCCCATAGACTCAACTCTTTACAGGACCTGAAACCTGGAAGTCCTTCATCCCCCTTTTTCCAAATTTCCCTCCCTCCTGAAAACCTGCGAGGGTGAAACCAGTCCGTTCAGATTAGTGGGACCAGTAAGCCTTGCCTCCGCTCGCAGGGATAAGTATCCCCTAAGAATTGTAGACGCATTCAAGGATTTGAGACAGGCGTCTATTACAATGATGACAGCGGTATTTATTAGAATGGTGACAGTAGGGTTCCCTCGAATATTATAATCGGTTTTCTAAACTTTTACAGTGGTGACCCTCAACTATTATAGTACCAGCAATACAACTATCACTGAATGATAAGTCAGTTGTGGTGTGGCTGTCTGGTGTTTTGCTAATTGGTCATGGTTTAAATGTCCTACGTTATATTTTCACTTGATCCGCAAATGTTTATTTGGTTATATCTTATTTACAAAATCACCAATGAAAAAGTACTGCGGAGGATGAACACAACTGCGGATTTGGTCCACATCGTGAAGGACCATAAGCTGCAGTACTTGGGCCATATAATGAGAAATCCAGGCAGATACGAGCTACTTCAATGCATTTTACAAGGTAAAATTAAAGGAAAAAGGGCCCCAGGACGAAAAAGGATATCCTGGCTCGCTAACCTGAGAGCATGGTATAGAAAGACCTCAACACAGCTATTTCGTATAGCAACCAACAAAGTCATCATAGCCAGAATGATCGCCAACGTTCGGAACGGACAGGCACCCTAAGAAGAAGATCTTGTTTACACCTGTCCTATAGACTCACAGGACATTTCCTATTACTTATAGGGACTTGTGTTACTTAGAGTAGCTCTACTTTCCCAGGCCACTTAGACTAGCTCTACTGCCCTGTAAGTAATGATTGGACTTAATATTGGCGTATACATTCACCTCAATATTTTTGGATTATATCCCCAATTTTTTCATTGTTGATTAACTCTTTTTCATGCTTGTCTCTGAGTTTTGTTTGCCACTAAACTGTGCTTCCACCATCTATTGTGATGGCTTTAATGTTGAATTTCTTTATCTTTATAAATGCAATTAAAGTGATTTTAGAGAGGTTGATGTGCGTCCCATCTTTCAGTAACATGTAATTGTATAATTCAGTCATCTCTTAATTGTAAATTACAATGAACAGGTAGTATTGAATTACAATATTAGGAGCATGTCTAACACCTAATAAACATGTAAAGTACCTGGGAGTGACATTGCACCAGAATGGAAAATGGGGAGAGCACGTACGGGAGGTGGCCCGGAAGGCAGCGAATAGTGCGGCTGCGTTGGAGATGATGATGCCCAACATTGAGGGACTCAAATCCAAAAGGAGGAAGGTCTTACACGGTAGTCGATCGTCCTCTAAGCGGCACCAGTCTGGAGCGGGGTGGTAGAGATAACGGCCTACAGGAGGCTCATGACACGAGTGGACAGAACAAATCTGTTGCGAGTGGCATGCGCCTATAGGATTGTGTCTGCGGCGGCCTTGTGGACCATCACTGGATGTGCTCCGTTGCATGTTTTGGCGGTTGAAAGAAAAGTGCTCTATGAGAGAAGAGGCCCAAACCTTACTATGACCGAGAGAAGACAGGAAAGGGAAAGGTCAATTGAAAGATGGCAAGAACAATGGAACAACACGGAGGATGTGGCACAGTGGGCGAAAATGCTGATCCTGAACATAAAGAGATTGTGTGGACTATGACAACAGGCGCAGGTGCTCACAAGACACGGGTGTTTTAGTGCCTACCTCCCTAGGTTCGAAAAGGCTGACACAGATGAATGCCTATACTGTGGACACTTGAACACTGTGGCACATACGATGTTAGAGTTAAACAGATGGATAGTAGAAAGGAACATAATGGAAAGAGAGACAGGTGTGAATTTTGTTACAGTGAGAGAATGACTGAAAATAAAGCAGGTTGGACTAGCGTACACAACTATATCTGTGAGGTGAGCACGAAAAAAGAAGAGGAAGACAGCTGGACCAACGGCAAAGGGAAGAGGGAAAAATGCTGGAAGTTGAAGCTAGAAAAGTGGGCAGACTGTATGAGTTAGAATGCGTGACTCAGACTGTAGGGAAGGAGGAGATACCCATCTGGGTTTGATGCCGTACTAGGAGCGATGAGGGTCTTCTAGGCGCTACCTGGAACGAGACGGGGAGCCTCCTTGCTGATGGACTGTGGATTAATGAAGAATTAATGAATGAAGGTAGTGCTTCGGAAGTGATGCCGGCCTTACAGGGGCTATTCCGCTTCCGACTGGGAAGGATGGCATGAAGGAATCTCTGGATGACAGAGGAGGGTCTGGTTTAGCAGATAGGCATTCGGCGTAGACTCGGCGATGAGGAGGAATTTTAAAGTACCTCGGGAACTATCGCCGGGAGTACGAAGAACGAATCCTGCACTAAGGTCAGTCAAGCGGCGTCCTGGAATGATATGTCTTGAAGATTCCAGACACCTCCCTCTTTACTAAATCGTACAGAAGTTGATCTACTACTAAACTCCACATTAGTAAGAGCGCAACTGCTGCTTGTGCACAGCCTCTACTTATTGAGATGGAGAAAGTGCTTTGGTATATTTCAAACTGTACTTACTTTAATGCAATTTCTGTCAAATTTTCTACTTAGTATGCGTGCTGAGAGGAAGGCCTTTATACCAGAATTTCTCTTGATACACTTAATCAGAACTTTTTTTTGAGGAATATTGTAATGAATATGCTTTTATGTATGATTCCGAATAAGACTTCCCAACGTTGGGAGTTTTCCGTGGAGTGTCGGATTTTGCATACACATCAAAGGGATTCGCGCTAATATGGGTGTTGCCGTTGATGCCTCAACCCAATGTGTGGATGCCTCCCCGAACGTGGGAACACAGTTGATCCAACATTGACTCCAACGTAGGCGCCAACGTTGGATCCCATGTATGGAGCTGGCCTAATACTAAGAGTTCATTGCTCAATTAATATAAATTGTGAGCATTTGTTGGCTTTACCTTTTTTGGGTATAGGAATGAATATCGTTATTATTCAAGCTTCAGTGTAACTATCGTCGTTAATATTCATTTCTGAATCTCTCCATATGTTTTGTCTGGTTATGCACCCAGCTGTTCCAGTCTTTATCGTTTCAATAGCTCTTTATACTTGGACTGTTTTTATATCTAATACTAATTATTTTCTACTAAAATTTGGTTATTTTGTGTTTATTAATATTTATTTTCAAATCCAAAGTTGGAGTTGCAGGTTTGAGTAGATAAAATACATTGTTTACACTTCAGGTACACCTCATTAGGAATGGTTAAATACAAACAAACAAGATTTATGGTAAACAAAAATTATGTATTTGGATTCATTCTCGTTTTTGTAAAAATTTCAACTCATAGAGAAGTAGATCTAGTTTTTTGTTGTTTTAAAATGAACAGTACCTTTGAGACACTAATTTATTAAATTTACATAAAATTACAAAAATTAAATTATTATTCAGCCGCTTTGACTAAAGCTTCTCCTACTTCAATGGCAATGGAGGCTTCAGCTTTCGCCTGAAAGGGAAAAATATAGGATTAACAAAAAGAAATAAAAATATTTATTTCTTAATAAAATGTTTCCTATTGTAATAACCATATTTAAATGTTGTTTACATTTAAATACAAGTCCCTGTTTATCTCAGTTAGCCCACTATTAAAACCACCAGTGTCTTGACTACTATACAAAATATATTTATAGGATGCTTTTATTGTTCTCAAGTTAATTAACATGGAATTTTTAATATCATTTAATAGAAAAAAAAATAATTGAATTATTTTTATAAACTTAGGCAATAACATCAAAAACACGACAAGTTTATGTTTCCTCTCGTCGATGAATCCAATGTAATTTTTTTATCATTACATATAGGACTGCAGATGGCTTTAGAAAATCAAATCACAATAATTGTCAACTTACTTTCAGATACATTTTATAGATTTTGAAGTCTTCTGGTATTTATTTGTATGGTTTGAAAATGGTCAGATATAAAATTATTAATAAAAAAATTTGTTCAATTTTTTAATTCTGGAAAATCGAACTCAGAAATTTATTACAATTATCAAGTTATAGTGTAAGAAATATAGTTAGAAGATTAAAACTACAGGTTATGTCATCACAAAGCCTTACAATATGGGAAAGAAATACTGACAATGATAGAAGAATTATTGAAAAAAATCAGAGTGCAAATTATCCCGGCCTAAATGTTCTGTAGAGTGATGCTGTTGGAAGACGAATTTCCTGATTCATATGACACAGAAGCACTTACAAGTTGAGATTTAATACATTCAAAGTTAGTTAATTCAGAGTAAATAAAAATTGTCCTGAGAACTTACAATTTTGTTGCATAACAACTCAACGGGTGAAGAGAGAGGACAGATGCTGCGAAAATTTAAAAATGGTAGTGTATACTGTCCTAAAAATTGGATGTAATGTATAGGATTTTAATATTTTGATAACTTGCGTGACATTCTATTATTTGCATAAAAATAATGTTACACAACAAGCAAGACGTCAGGGTAATCCTGACAGAAAATACAAAGGAATTCTTAACACCCACTCTGTCCATCATTCCAATGAAAATACACTTGAGTGCAAAAAAATCAACACAAAATTATTTGGCGAAAGTACGTCTCCTGTTTCAATCAAAAAAGGTGTAAATTTAAAAGTATTTAGAGTACAATTATTAACCTCATTACTCAGTTTGAAAAAAGTTTTGATTTTTGGTAAATCGGGTGACGTATTACAAATAAATAATGCAACACGTAGAGAGGGGATCATAATTTGACCCATTGAAATCGACACGCACCCACTTAAAATATTTGGTTAACATCGTAACCATCAATTTCCGTAGCAACCCACAGTCAATTAAGTTCGCAACTTCATAACAAATGGATACCACGTCCGTCAAAGCAGCTCAAGCAGTAGCATTATTGAGAGAAGACCTGAGCCAGAGAGCCGTGGCAAATCGACTAAATTTAAGCCAATCTGCTGTGTCCCGAGTGTATCGTCGGTACCAAGATACTGGTGATTATGTCCGCCGACAAGGAGGAGGTCGTAAACGAATAACAACAGAGAGAGATGATCGATCTAAATCGATCGATCTAATTTCTGAGCAATCGACATTTGACTGGTGCTAATCTCAAAGAAGAGCTTAGAGAGGTCCGAGGTGTGGTTACCAGCGTTTGGACAGTCAGAAGAAGATTGAAAGCAGCCAACCTGACATTAAAAAGGACAGCTACTGGTCCCAAGCTAACTGCAGTCCAGAAGCAAAGACGACTAGAATTTGCTCGCGAACATCTGGATTAGGACGACTATCAATGCAGTCAGGTATTATTCTCCGACGAAAGTAGGATCCGCCTACATGGCAACGACAAGCGGCGTCGAGTCTATAGAAAGCCAGGGGAACGATTTGCTCAATGTTGTATACAAGAACAAGGCGGTTCTTGTATGTTTTGGGCAAGCATTTCCATGGATGGGAAAACAGATGGTTTTCGTGCCTGATGGAGGACGTCGAGGAGGTTTAACGGCGGATCGTTACATCAGAGATATTTTGGAGGAACATGTAGTTCCATACGTGGGATTTATTGGTAATACCTTTATTTTATTGCATGATAATGCACGATATCATACCGCATGAGTCACCACCACCTATCTGACTGAGATCGATATAACTACAATAAATTGGTCTATGTTGAGTCCAGACATAAATCCAATAGAGCATGTTTGGGATGAGCTTAAATGAAGGGTCAGGAGCAGAAATCATGCACCAAGGAGCATAATGGAATTGAGAGCTGTGCTTAATGATGAATGGGAAGCAATGCCTCAAGAATTTATTAGAAAAGTCATCCGATCCATGCGAAATTGATTGGTAAGTATAATTAGGAATAGGGGTGGTAATATCAGATACTGAAAAACAAAAAAAATCATTTTGTAATTGATGATCTCTCTGTTCATTACATCTTTCTTGGGATAGTTCCAATAATGAATATTTAAGAAACTCTGTTCGTACTGCATATTGTTTTTATAATGCGCCTTCCAAATAATGAAATAGCAGTTTTTGTAAGTTCAATGATAAAGTTACTGTTTGCACATTACATCTTGTTATTTTCATACTTCCTACATTAAAACAGAAGGTGTAATCTCCAATATCGCTTTTGAGTCAATTGTTTTGCACTCAAGTATAGTAATAATGAAAAAATTATATGGTGTTTTATATAAAAAGATGTAATCAAACTAGTGATTATGTAAAATCACTACATTTTTTACAAGTTGAAGACTGTGACACACCTACATCAAGTGTGAAACAATGTATGAATTTAGGTACTGTACTCATCCAAATAACATAAAGGTTTAGCATGTTGTCTGGCATGAGGAAATTAGACTATTATCAGTTTTAAAAGCATTCTAATAAGAAAAGAATGGTAATATGACTTCAAACAAAATAAATTACTATTTAACTGGGAATAAGCCGCAATTAAAGGTTAAAATACGTTTATTGACGTTTCAATTTCCACTTAGGAAATTGTTCTCAAAATGCAAACAAAATGCTAGGTAATACAAGGTGATTGTCTTAAAACAATTGACAGTTGAGATCAAGAAACCTGGCGGCTAAAAAGAGGATGATCTCAAGTGTTATTTACTCTAGCAATTATGAAACAGGAGAAAGTGGAACAGATTAAGGGGGCAACATACTCACAAAGCAAATTACTAGAACTCAGATGGAAAACAGGAGAAAAAGAGAAAACCCAACTTCCACTTGTGCAGAAAGAGTGAATGATAAATTTCACTGAGATGGTCAATATCATTACGCCTATTCACAGTTAAAGGCTGTTTAAGAATGGTGACACATCTCAAGGAAAGTTCTTTTGAAATAATTATTTTTAGTGGCTAAAATCTGTGTACTCTCAAATCAGCCTAACAGTTTGTCAATAAAATATGTGCAGATAAGGCACAAGTGTGTTTAGAACAATTGATATTACTTCAGTGAAAAATAAGGTGTGCATTTTAAGGAACGACCAACAGCCAGTTTGTCCAATGTAGGACAATTCACAATCCTGTCAAGGGATTCTATAGACTACACTGGTTTTATCTTGTTTAGGATAAGGGAGTCTTAGTGTTGAAAAATAACTTTCTAATGGACCTGAAAACCTTTATCCCTATCTTGACAGGCACAATCTGGAGAAGCCTCAACATGTTGTAAGTAAATTGTGGGAAAAAGGTAAAGAGCATCCATTAATGTAAGTAATAAAATTCAGGCCTTTTAACTTCAATCCTAGCTAAATTTTCCATGTTAATGTTGAGTTAAAATAGAGTATGTCTTAAAATATTCATTTAACTGGTCTTAGTGAGTCTGATAGAAGAGGAATCACATAACTGATGCACTCAAGAAGGGACCTGACAAGGAAAAAGTATAAGAAGTTTACAAGTGTTTATTGAGAAATAAACAAAATGTCCAACAAAATGCTCCACAAAACACACATATCTTTAACTGTGTTCATACATCTGAGATTTGTGTCATTGACAATGTAAGCAGTTGTCATTATGTGACTGAAGTGAAATTTTGAGAGAAAAAACAACCTGTCACCAAAAATGTATGTAATTAAATCAAGCATGCACAATTAAATTATATAAGAAATCTTAAGTAATAAACTAAGTATTAGATCTTACATTACATTTTTTCTTGGACAATATGAAAAAAAAAATATGTAATCTTACCTCATCTGTACTTGCAGATGATAACTGGCTCTGGGCTTTGGTAAGGATATCTCTTGCTGCATTGACATCAATGTTTTCTACTGGGTGGGCTTCTTCAGCAAGAATCTAAAACAAAATTAAAATACTTTAAAAATAAATTCTTTTGCCCCTATATCTATTGTGTACCTCCAACTTTGAGGGGCTAAATAATTTAAACTATAATTGTATTTTATAAGTGTACAACCTCTCTTGTCATCCTTATACTAAACATATGAATATATTGAAGATACATGGATGAGTGTGATGAAGGTTGTGGTCAATACATCGATGTCAAAACGTTTCACCCGTACAACTGTAAATTACAAGCTTATTGGTGGTTTTCAAACCATGTGACATTCGCTAGAGATACGGATGGTACGATACATATACTGAAATGTATCTAGACTCATTCTCATACAAGCGTAAAATCTGTCTAGTGGTGTTCCTTAAGCTCTTTAAATAGGTGATGGTAGACTCCTAGATACTGCCTATTTCTATTTATAGGATGAGCCGAAAGCTAGTGATTTAAAGAATTACAAATAATCTGCTACTTTCCACTTGAAGACAGGCATTCACTGTCGTCATTACTGTTGCTCATGCACATAATTTTATAATGTAAAAAAAGCTAACTTTCCCAGAACACATGTCAGTCACATCAGATACCGCAAAGATCATTAAAATGAAGGTATGTTCGGTATGTTCTGTCTATCATCGCTGTAAACGTCAGCCGCGACCGCGATCTCCACCACGCACATCCATGTATCTTCGGTATGACAGTACCCTAAGACTTTTCTAGTGCTCTTGTTCCTCTAAAAAGAATAACACATATTACAGTTAGCTACATTAGGCAGCTTTTGAAATGAATTACTATTTTACTGAGAATAAGCCACAATTAAAGATAAAAATATGTTTATTGACGTTTCAATTTCCACTTCGGAAATCGTTCTCAAAATACAAACAGTCAATTTACTGTTTGTATTTTGAGAACGATTTCCGAAGTGGAAATTGGAATGTAAATAAACATATTTTTATCTTTAATTGTGGCTTATTCCCAGTTAAATAGTAATTAATTTACAATGCCACAAGAAAATAGCTTCAGAGCTTTTGAAATGGTCTCTCAGAAAGCAAGAGTCCATTTATTATGATTGTAGACATAAAATCTTAGATAACTTCTATAACCATTAACAATAAACTGGTGTTGATATTTGCCATACACTTTTCAACTGAGTGATGATCAGCTGACCAACAAAAGAATTTGGTACTATAGAATAGGCTTCTGTTCTCATAAGAGTATGTTTAATGCCAATCTGTATAAGGTGATCACTGCCCTCTTCCCTAACAGGCACTCAAAGACCCAAACACGTTGGGATTATGAGTTTCCATAATTTTTGTTTTTTGGCAGAGGCAAATAAAATATGATTACAATACAACACATCTAAATTAAAATATCTCCATTTAACATAAAGTAAAGTCAATTCACTGAGATTGGCAATATTTGGACAGTCATTTAGAGGAAATATACCACACAAAATTCCTGACCATCACTATTAATAGCCCAAATAAATTTACCCTTGTCAGACTTTTTATTTGGAAAAAAATCATGAATAATGGAAGTAAGTATATATTCTTTAAATTTGATTAAAAACTTTCCATTAGTAAACACAAATCTATAAATGACTAAAATATTTCAAAAATAAACATTTAAACTTTTGTTTTATTAACTTTGATCAAATGAAAGGCTGATATCGAGCACAGTTTTATTAATTAAATTTTGCCCAAGTACTTTCGCTTCCTAGAGCAATTTCAGGGGTATCTGAAATAAGGCAAGAAAGGTTTTTTTAACTGAAGAAATTAATTAACTTTGATAAAAAACCTCAAAATTAATGGTTGGTTAAAAGTTTTTATGTGATTAACGTTTTAGACTTACTTCGACAATTTTGGTCTATACAACAATCACAGAATATCATAAACATAAAATTGTACATAACACTACACTACACAAGGACAAACAGTTTAAAATTATTTAAAATAGACGAAGCTACATTATGGTCGTCAACAGGAGAGAGAATGGCTCCCAGTTTTAACATCTCTCCTGTTACCGACCATAATGTAGCTTCGCCTATTTTAAATAATTTTAAATTGTTTGTCCTTTTGTAGTGTAGTGTTATGTACAATTTTATGTTTATGATATTCTGTGATGGTTGGATGGGCCAAAATTGACAAAGTAAGTCTAAAATGTTAATCACATAAAAACTTTTATCAACTATTAACTTCGTGTTTTTTATCGAAGTTAATTAATTTCTTCAGTTAAAAAAATGTTTCTTGGCTTATTTCAGATTCCCCGGAAGATACTCTAGGAGGCATAAGTACTTGGGCAAGATTTAATTAATAAAACAGTGCTCGATATCTGCCTTTCATTTGATCAAAGTTCATATATTCCAGCATTCAATCTTATATCAATTTTGTTTTATTTGAATTTACTTGTATTCATTTTGTTTCTAAACTACGTAGGAAAAACTTTTAAATTACAATTAATACTACCTATGTGTGTGCATGTGTGCTTGGTTGTATAGTAACTTCCAGTCAAAGTCAAAATTTGACCCACAAAGCACAAGAATAATTATTAAATTTACTAGATAGTCAGGAGTAAGTTCAGTGATAAAGTATAAATTATTTGTTGCGTTATTAGTAAAATATTTTTTGTTGAAAACTAACCTGTACTGATGAATCATCATTTATGGTGACAGTACCACTGGAAACGAAGATTTTCTTAACTTTACCATCATCTTCGTAAACAGTGACAACTCCAGGTTTTAACACAGCCAGTGTGGGTACGTGGGCAGGAAGGATACCAAAGCTACCAGAGAAAGATGGTACATCGACCTGTTTAACTGAAGTTGCAGTATAGTAAACCTAAAAATAAAAAAAAAACTAAAACTGTACCTTATCCATGTAATTCTTTTTAATTCTGAATAGGGTTTCCTTTAATTTTCAACATTAGGTATATCAAATTACAATCTTTAAAGACCTTTTGAAATATGTTTCTTTAAATTCTAATGTTAGTTTTACCTGATTTCCAGCGGCAAAGGTGAAATTCATTTGGTCTGCATAGGTCCTCCTTGCAGTAGTTTGAAGTGATCTATTAAGAAGAAGACGAGACATAGATCTGATGGCAGCCATTTCTTAAAAAGTAATTATTGTTAATATAATAAAATTATACTGATACTTTTAAAAATTTATGAAAAATATAAGAGGTTCTCATAACCTCTCATTACATAATACTTTTCACTAGCTGATAACAGTATTGTTACCGTTAATAATTTAAATTTATATAAAAGTAATGAAAGAATAAGAAATAAATTTACCTTTTTTAATTTATATGACAATGTATTTGGAAATACAAAAAGGCTTTTTATCCAAAGTAGAACCCACCGTACCCAAAAAAAATTATGAGAATGACAGCGATGACAGATTTGAAAACTGTCACTCTATTCTATAGAAAGAAAGAATTAGCTGCAATTTTAACTTACTTTAGTAAGTAAAAAAGAAGACGAAAGTCACAATGTTTTAAATTCCATATTTTATATACTATTTCGGGATTTTTCTCATTATGGATAAATCGTATAGAAATAACAACTGATAACCTTCAAAATTTGAATAACAATGTGAATGTAGAACAGGAGCACTTTAGTTTAAATTTGTGTTTACGTCGGTCTAGTTTTAATATATATAGAAGATATCCGTTGCTTAACCATGTAAGCGAAATAGTGCTATTTTACTATCTTCATTACATAATAACATAATCATGCAGGAATGGCTAAAGATATCTTTAATTTTGTGCGTTTTTGGGTTTTTGAAGGAGATCCGTCCTTCGGAACCCTTTATTTACGAATTTTTGATTGACCATAGATGGAGAAATGTCACAGACGAAGAAGTAACTCAACAAGTTTATCCTGCTGGTACTTACAGTTATTTAGCACATTTAGTTCTAGTTTTTTTAATTACTGATTTGTGCAGATATAAACCCCTAATTATATTGCTGGGTGCTTCTGGTATTGTTATTTGGAGTTTACTATTATGGTCGAAGACTCTTTTCTATCTACTGATAGTAGAGGTAAGCATTATTTTTATTTTTGAATCTAAAAGTAAGAGTGATTTAATCTTTAAAATATATTTTACAATTTATTTTTGGCAAATTATAAAGTGTAATGACCCTATTTACAAGACAGCTACTTGCAAAATTATTTAATTATGTACCTATGTAATATGTATTGCAGTCAATTATGCAATTTTACAAAAATGCAAAAACTGCATTTTATATAAATCAAAGCTTAAGCAGTTTCTAATTAAACATTTTTTTATTAATTACTTAGTATAATACAAAGGTTAAGATGAGTTGTTTTATAGATTCATAAATGCTAAGTGTGTTATAATTTGATACATTTTACAACAATTCTTTTGTAAAAATTGTTGAAATGGTTATATTATTGTTTGTTAGCTTATGGACTAATATTAAATATGCAAGATGAAGGTATAAAGATAATTAATAAGTAATGAATTTTTAAAGAGATATCCTTAATAACAGAAAATACAAATAGTTTCTAAATAAAAAAGTCCTTGCAAAATGAAGCTACTAAATTTTTTATCTTAATAATTTATTTGTTAATCTGTCTATTTTCCACAGCAAGCTTTGGATTTGCTCCATACCGAGCAAGCAATTGCAAAACTTATAAAATAATGTTTACAAAAAATAATGGGTTTTACATTTTTTACAATATTTGCAATGACCCCTTTTATTTGGTGGAGGATCAGATTGATCTTGTTTTTTGGTTCCTATATACTGTATAAGTAGACAACTTTGATTTTATTTAGATAAGTGTTGTTTGTGTCATCCTAATCTTTCATATATGACAATATAGGATGTCACCTTTTAATTCTTCTAAAGGGGTACTCCATTACTTATTTCTAAGACATGCTTTTGTCATAGTGTATTGTTGTATATTGCATACAATGCTTACATTGATTGTAAAATGCCAAGTAGTCAAAACACAATTGTATTTTAGTATCTAGCATCCAAAGATAACAGTCAAAATTTGAATAACGGAAAAAATTAAAGACCACAAATAAACTTATAAAGTTCCGATCAGGAATAATAACTCAGTTCTGTTCCTTTTTTGACTGTTTTCTATTTGGGATTGAAATATATCTTTCTTGCTGATTTCTTTTTAACTGTTGAGAATTTAGTGCAGATGAATTTACACTGAGGAAAATAGCTGTATTATATACATGACCTCCAGGTTCTCTTGCAGAAATATTTTGTAATTTTTTTTAAGAAGTTGATCTTCTGTTAGTTCATGTCTAGATATATTTACAGTTGTCACAAACTTTCTCAATTAACAGTTAATACTCAACAATTTAAAAAAAGAAAAATGAGTAGAAAAATAGTTATACTAACAAGGAAAAAACCCAATATTATAAAGAGAAAGTGTAAATGGCCAATCTGGCTGCTTCAGTTTTATTTCAGTTCACTTCTATCCTAGTTCTGTGAAAAAACTAGTTAATAATTTCAATTTACAGAAATTTATTTTATCATGTATAGTTTTAAAATTTTATAATATAGTAATGGTAAATATTTTAATTATTTTAATTATTAACTTGAGGTTTAAGGAATTAAAATAAATGCTGGTTAAGTCCTTTAATTAGAACTTGTACTTATGAAATTAACTTATAATTATACTCATGAGTTGAACGATATTCAGTAAATTTAACTGAATGGCTAAGATGAAAATATTATTAAAGTTATTAAACTGTACTATGATGGAGGTACCGTAATTTTGTCTGATAATATTCCTAAAAATAAAACAGTTTCAGAACACTCATTTTTTTAATGTAGATCGATGCATATAGACACAAAGTAGTGCATAGAAGGTAGAAAGACCACTATTCTAGGTCTTTGTCTCGCCTTTGCCTACTTTTTTTCAGCCACAAATCTTTTGTTATATGTAAATACATTAAGAGCACTGATTACTAATCTTAAAGGTCTATTTATACATATACATATTCAGAAAAAAAAACTGGGGTTTTCTGGATGGGACCCGTCTGTACCCTGCCTGAAATTAATCCCAAATGATGTTTTTGTTTTCGGCACTGACGATGCACGGAAATGACATGGACTGTACAAACTTGTATTAACACTATTTTATAGTTTTTTAAATGTGAGTGCTGCTAAAAAGACAAGCAGGAGATGTTGTGCGGTTAGTATGTTATGGATTTTTATATGTAACAAAGAAAAAAGAGTTATTTTTTTCTAAAATGTTCTAAAAGAGTTCATTAGAATGTATTCTAAAAGACATTCTAAAATATTCGTGAAATTTTGTTTCATCATCCAATAATTCTCTGTATATTTTAACACTTTGATGCGGATGTCCGATCCTGAGACTTATTGTCGTCTCAAGGGGGGTGGGTATACGCTCTGCTGTAGGATATTTCGTGACTTTGATGTGCCCTAGGCACTTATCCCTTTTTCAAGTTGGGATGTTGAATCGTTTCGAAGGATAATAAAATAAAAGCCAATTTGTAGAAGGCGAAGACAAAGCCTCAGAGTCTAAGGTAGGTGAAGCAGAGCCCCGCTAGTGGGCTCCCTAGAGTTTAGGGCTCTAGGAGAGACCGAGGTAGACTGTCCTTTGGTTTGGAAATCAACTAATATTTATACATAATATTTTACAAGATTCCAAATTAAAAGACCAATAAGAAATTAGGAAAAGGAAGGAAGGAAGGCGGGGCGATACGCGCCAAGAGGTCTCATTGGTCACTCTGACCGAGCACTTGGCGACATTATACTCTGAACTGAAACTTATTTATTAATAAAACTCCTATAATATAATTAATCAATGTTCATTAGTAATTATTAATTATCATCATCATCAATTTGTCTGTGCCCACTGCTGGGCATTCCTCTCTGAAGACTCCCTCAGCTCTTTCCATCTGTCTGTCTTGTGCGGTTTGCATCCAGTTACTGCTAACACGAGATGGGCGTCCTCTGCTCCGTATTAATTCTTGCCTTGGTTTACTCTCTAAAATACGTTTTGTCCATCGGTTGGACAAATCTGGCGACGTGTCCTGCCCAATTTCATTTTAACGACGCGATTTTTTCGATGGGGCGTTTGTTGTTTTTGTTCTACGACATATTTCTTCATTTGGGATTCTGTCTCTAAGAGAGACACCCAACATCTGGCGCTCCATAGTCAACCGAGTCACGCGAATCTTATTAACTACCTTGTTTGTGAGTGTTAATGTTTCCGCTACATAAGTGAGTACAGGTAACACATTGGTCAAAGATTTTCCTTTTTAGGGATCTGATTTAAATACATAGTTTAATTTACCAACCACTGCACAGTCTAATCCTATGCGACGTGGGAGCTCACATTCTCACATATCTGGTTATTTCTGTCCAACCGAATTTCATGTCCTAAGTACTTATACGATATAGTCTGCACAATATCGCTTTCATCAACAGCAATATTTCGATTTAGCACCAGATTAGTCATTATTTGCGTCTTGTTCATATTAATCTTTAGTCCGACCTCCAAGGAAGCGTGATATACTTTTTCAAACAGTATTATTACATCATCCATACGATCGGCTATAAGGACGATGTCATCTGCAAATCCCAAATGACTGAGCTTTTCACCATTTATGTTGATACCATGCTCGTTCAGATGTGCCTTCTTACAGGTATATTCTAAAAGCGTCGTGAATAGCTTTGGAGAGACGGTGCCTCCTTGCCGTACTCCTCTCTGTGTACAGAATTGATTTGTTTCTTGTTCAGATAGTCTTACGCTAGCAGTGGCATTTTGATAGATATATTTGATTATGTTAGTGTAGCGATGATCTATTCGGCATTCTGACAGAATGTCGAATTATTAATCATAATTATAGTGAAACAACGAAAAAAATTTGCATAGCTCACACGTATGCCAGCATGTATAAAATAAAGGTACTTGCTCCAGGAACGGATGGCGCACATGTATATCGTAGGGAGAAGATTTAAAATATGTTGTTATATTCGTATACAAAAAAAAAGCTAATATATTATAAGTAAAATACGTTTAGGTCCTGTAAAAATTTGCAAAACATATTCCAACTCACAAGCCTGGTTTTTCTCGACACATAAGAGAATGGTATAATGACAGAACTCTTTTTTTATTTTACTTTTTGTTTTAGAAACACTATCTACTACTTTGTAAGAAACACCGCTTAGTTCAACTCATCTATCTCACTTTCACTTTTGAGCAAGTTCTTCTTCACTAAATTTTTCCGAAATGGATTTGGGACACGGGAAGCATTAACCAGTTTTATTATACTGCTGCAAAAATGTCGAGACCAAAAAAAGGATCTCTTTTTATGTTTTATTGACTATCAAAAGGCCTTCGACAAAGTAAAATATGATAAGCTGATGGATTGCCTTCACAAAAAGGGACTAGACGAGAACGATTTTAAAATTATCCAAACGCTGTATTTTAACCAAACTGCAGCAGTTAGAACAGAAGCCGGTGACACAGAAATATTCAATATCAAGCGAGGTGTACGACAGGGGTGTGTATTGTCACCACTACTTTTCGATATATATTCGGAAGAAATCTTTGCACGAGCACTAGAGCAATCAAGAGAAGGTGTTAAAATTAACGGCAGAGTTCTAAATAATGTACGATATGCCGACGACACGGTCCTAATTGCAGAGAGCGCACAGGATCTCCAGACACTCTTAGATCGCGTCAGATCGATCGGAGAACAATACGGCCTCAGCATTAACGTCAAGAAAACAAAAACAATGATTGTCTCCAAAACATCCATACATCCACCCATGGCTTTAAACGTGAATGGTAACATTATCGAAAATGTCGAGAAATTTCGATATCTAGGGTGCTGGATAACGAAAGATATAGATCCAGACATAGAAATAAAATCGCGAATTGAACAAGCAAGAAATGTCTTTTTAAAAATGAAACAAATGTTTACGTCCCAAACACTCAATCTCAAAATCCGATACCGAATGCTGAAATGTTACGTTTACAGCACCTTACTATATGGAATGGAGGCCTGGACCTTCAAAAT